TGCTGAAACATCAGATTTTTAAAGGGAGCCTTTTCTAAAGGCTCTGCAGGATGCTCTGGAATGTTGCAGGTGTAAAAAGAAATCATGAGTAGCTGGGAAAGTGCTGATAAGGTGGCCCTGGCAGGTCCAGCTTTAACACACAAACCACAATTTATTACATTAAAAAGCAGCTGGACCATTCAAGGGCCTTGCCCCCACTGGAGATTGGTGGGAACCTGGTGGGATCCTTTGAGTGTCCCCCACTTTCAGTGTCAGGGCAGGCTGGAATGATCGTGGGGCTTGGTCAGCTTTGATGTGGGACAACACCAAGAGCAGAAGGGGGGAAATGTGGATGTTTCCCTGCTGTGCTATAAATGCAATTCCCTCTAGGTCAGGCATGTATCACCATTGCTAAATTTACTTCAAAATATTACTGAGGTGGGGAGGTTTGTGACTCAGGTCTATAAAAGCACACACTGCTTATGTAAAGAAATAAGTTTGGAAAGAGGCAGGAGGGGGCTCAGGCTCCAGCAGGGACCATTCCTGGTGTTTATGCCCTCTCTGCATAAATAGATCTTTGTACTGGGAAGCAACTGCACCTCCAGGTTGTGTGTTCCTTACAGCAGGATCTGCTGGCCAGCTCTTCCTGTTTTTCCAAACATTTCAGGAAATGTAAATAATTTCCAAGCCTATGCTCTATCTTAGATGAATTTGTTTTAAAATGAAAACCAGCAAATGCTGTGGGATGATCAGTTCTTTTAACAGTTCAGGGTGACTTTCAGATCGAGTTGTGCCACTCTGGGAAGGCAAAGGAGAGATTCTGCTGTGGGGATTTTGGTATTTGGATCCTTTTCATTCACTCAGGTGTGTGTGTGTGTGTTTGGTCTTGGAAAACCTGAGTTCCTGGAGTCAGGAACTGGCCCTCCTGTGCCACAACCACGTCCCAGAAGAATGAGCCTCTCCCACTCTTCCTCAGGAAATGCTATTCCTCAACTTGGCAGCCAAATTCCTTCTGCTGGGAGTTCTGGGCAGGGGAAGAAGAGCTGTTAACTCATTTTTTAGGACAATTCAGCTGATACTCACTCTGTTTTGCAGTCAAACATCAAGGTAAAAGTAGAGCATTGCTTTAAAGACAGGAGCTTCTTTAGTTTTACTGCTGTTTGCTGCATACCTGGGCTGGCTGCTCCAGACCAGTGAGGAATGACAGCTCAGGGTGTGAGGGACTGGGCTATTTTTCTGTCCATCTGGAGTTGATTAAGTGATCCATCTGCACTGATCCTTGCAGGGAAGGAAGATAAAATATGGGTTTTATGAAATTGTACCTGAGATCAAATAAGTGGAAGAAAACGCTTTGGAATCTGCAGCCTGTAATTAAACATTTCCAGGAGGCAGCGAGGTGCAGCAGGCTCAGCAGAGGAGGCATTTTGCTGGGAAGTCTTTGCTTTGTTTCATGCTGTGTGCTATTAAAGCAAACAACTTCACAAGCTTCAGAAGCATTGGCAGCTCTTGACCAAGAATAGCATCTCACATCACAGCTAAACTGGAAACAATGAGGGCCAGCAGTCATCGGCTGGGTTTTTTTAGCCTGTAAACAAGGTAGCTGAGCTCATGGAGAAATCCCCATTTCTGTATTTTAGGTGTTCTAAGATGTTTCATCTTCTGAAGGATCCAGCAATAACCACCATAAAGCAAAAATCCTGATTTAAAGCAGATCTGCTGATGCAGTTCCCACTTACCTGGGCACGCCAGGCTCTCCTCCAACACAGAAATCCTAAATCCTCACCACCTAAGCCAAGCTTGTGCAGAGTCTACCAAACATGTCTTGTCTGACTAAAAAATTACTCTGAGATGTGATAGAAACATCCCCCATGTGGGATCCTGTGGAATCCCCATCCCTGGAAGCATTCAGAGGCACATGGATGTGGCACTTGGGGACTTGGTAAAGCGATGAGCATGGCGATACTGGGTTGGATGATCTCAGAGGGATTTTCCAGCCCCACTGATTCCCTGCTGAGCTCTACTCCTGGTTCAGAGTCTCTCTGGGGACGTGGGAGCTGTGGCCGTGTAGCTCCCGCTGCGTTTGCAGGGGAGCAGTGACAGCTTTGGGCTGGATGCAAAGTGCAGAGCTGCAGAACAGCTCCAGCAAAGGAGGGGCTGGGGCTGGGTAGGAAAACAGGAAGATTGAGCCTTTCAGCACCCTCACAAAGACAAATTCATTTTTTCTCTGTTCTATTGTTGTTATCTACCAGGACTGTGTTCGGTGAGCTGCTGCTTCAAATTTTGAAGATGTCCACAATACATCCAAATTTCATCTTTTTTTAAATCTCTGCAGCTAAGAAGCTGTTCTGTGAGCTGGGAGAACTTGGGTGCAATCTGTTCTTTTTGGCTCCATGCTGGGGGCTGCATCTCTGCACAGCAGAGCCAGGCTGTTCATGTGCTGTTCATCACCAAGTCTGTCTGCACTTCTGCAGCCCTGAGCTCTCCTCCTGTGGCTGCTGAGCCCAGGGCTCCATCACCTCCCAAATGACTTCCTGAGAGGCTTTGAGAGAGCCCAAGGAATCCCTGAGCTGCTCAGTTTCAACAGCAGCCAGCATTAGGAGACAAAGTGGAAATGTTATCCCTGTGTTTTTGATTCCTAGCTCCTGACTGGAGCAAAGTCATGGAAACCAGTTGAGGAACTGGTGGCCCAACTTTCTGTCCTTTGCCTGAACCCCAAACTCATGCAAATTCATCAGTGAGGACAAACACTGGGAGATGGAGGGGAAGCCCATAGTGTTCAGCAGAGAACGTATGCAATGTGGAAATTGGATGTGAACCTCTTGCTGTTCATGCGTGAATCTATTATACATGAGCCCATCAGAGCAGGGTATTAATAAAACAGGAGCTAAAGAACTTGGCACTGCCTTGTCTTCAGTGGAACATCAGAGCCCGGGCTGGCGGCCGCCTTTGAAGTCTGGGATTGCATCTGCCCGGCTGCAGTGGTGACATGGGCAGGATGCTCCAGGGGGAATCTCACCACTGAAGGGGAATCTCTCCACAGAGTGGGGGTTTTTATGTGATTCAAATAAATCCTCCTCCAGGACAAAGCCATTGCTTGCTTTTTTTTTTTTTTCTGCTCAGTCTTCTGGCTTGCTGAATTCTTTAGGCAATGCACAAAGAGGGCTGAAGATGGTTTAAAGCAGCCTCAGACATCCTGTGCTGGGGTGTAAATGGCATCTGTTCCTTCAAAGTTGTCCCCCCAAGACCCCTCTGTGCCTTTTGTTGCACACAGGTACCACCAGCCTGAACCCTCTTTGCTTTGCTGAATCATGGGGAGTAAATTACACTGGGCTTTTTAACATCTGCATTTTGTGTCTCCATCAGGACAAATAAATGTGGCTCTTCAGACCTGCCCTGTAATCCCAGCTGTGCTGCCAAAGCCCTTGTGCAGACAGTGCCTCTGGCTCTGCTGGGTGAGCAGAGGCAGCAGGGAGATGCTGTGGCTGAGTGCAGAAGAGAGGCTTTGTGCAAAGCCAGCCTTGGTGTAAAATGGGAGTAGCTGAAGTGTGGTGTCAGCTTGGATCTGCATGGCTGTGAGTAATTAACCCTGGCTGATGGCTCTCAGAGGTTTGAGCAGCTGCTGAGTCCTGGGATGTGAAGCTGAACATCAAGAGCATTGAGTTAGGTGCTGTTACAAGGGGAGGGTGTTTAGGGGTAAGAACCAGCAGATCTAGTTAGACTTGCAGTTTTCAAAGCAATGGGGAATGGATGCACCAAAGAAATGGGCTAAATTTGTTAAAAATGCCCCAGTCAGCTGCAGAGCTGGGGAGGGGGATGATGCAGTGTAAGAGAAAGGCTGTGAGGTGAACAGGAAGGCTGAGCTCGCTGCTGGTGTGTTGGAGGCTGTGCAGCAGCTCTGTCTCCCTGGGGAATGCTTGGTGCCTGATCCATAGGAAACCTCAGGCAGGGATAAATCCACTGTTGAGCCTGACTTATGGGGGCTGGGCTTTGTGTTGTGGGCAGCAGCTGATCTAGAACTAATTCCTGTTCCTTGGATTAGTGTCTGAGATGGTCATGAAGATAACTTCTGTTTTTCATGAGCTCACAAACATTCAATCTCCATCCTCTCTGGCTTTGAGTAGCTGTAGGGTTTTACTGTTCATTCATTGTCACAGCAGAGGGATTTGGGTTTGGATCACGGGGTGGGTCCGTTCACCCTCGGGCTGTAACCACTTCCCAAAGGTGCCTACAGCAAGTCCAGCAGCTCCTCTGCAGTTATTGGGAGTTGTTATCTCCTCTGTGAGCGAGGAGAGTCCCAGACCCCTCGTGCTGGAGCTGCCCGTGCCTGAGGGAACCCCAGCAGGGCATTAAATCCATTTGTTGCTGAATCATGGACATGGATGGAAGTGGAAGTGCTGTGTCTGATAGCAGGGGCCTGGAAGCCTCATTTTTCATCCTTGCTGTGGTGGCTCCTTGCCTGGGAGAGGGAAGGAGCTGTCCTGGGGAAGCTGTGGGACTGTGCCACCTCCTGCAAGTCCTGCCCTGCGCTGGAGCCTGCACAGACTGAGGGTTTGCTGTGTGGGACAGGCAATTCACCCCACAGGTCTCTGCTGCCTTGGAAGCTGTGCTGCCCCTGGTTCCCAGAGGATGCCAGGGGTGTGCAGGGAGAGGAGAGCACTGGCATTCAGCTGAATGAAATGGTTGTGCAGCTCAGCTTCAGTGAGGATCAGTCACCTCGACTGACCAGTTAACACAAATAAACCCTGGGAGTGACCCCAGGTGGGTGTGACAGGTTTCCTTCCAGGCTGGTTGGAAAAACTCCTGGGAAGTGTTTTTTGTTAAAACCAGCACAAGGCTGCTCTGTCTGCACCTCTCCCTGCTCTGACTTGTGCTGTTTTCTTTACTCTTTGCCTGTAGATATTATTTGCAACCCACTGCACCCAAAATACCAACTGGTTGCTCTCAGAGTGTGAAGCAATTGCTGAATGAGTAGCTTGGATAATTATATTTTTTCTCATTTAGACAGAAGAAACCAGTTCAGCTTTGACCATGCATGTTACATTTTAATTATTTTTTTTTTTTTTCTCATGCCAAGAAATACAAAGAAAGTATATAAGATATACCATACCATCCTGCAGAAAAAGAAACATTTGTCAGCAAAGAGAAGCACCCAGCTGCAATTCCTGGTGTGTTCATGCTGTGTGTGAGCTGTGGCTCTCCCAGTGGAGGGGATGGACCCTGCCATGGATCCATGCCAAGGATCAGGTCCTGGCACCTTCTAACAAGGGCTCCCAAGCGCTGTCAGAGTTGCCTTGGTGAATCCTGCACACGTTCCCTTTCTGATGTTTCTTATCCTGGATGGGTAGAATCCTGGATAGGTTGGAATTTTGCTACCTACTGGTGTCAGCAAATGCTTTACAAATATTCCCACTTTGAAAAGGCTGCTTTCCCACACACACACCCCCTTGGCTTGTGCCCAAGCAGGGGAGTTTTTCAGCCCAAACCTAACTGGTTTTTGCCAAAACTAAAGGCTGTATACTGAAAGGAAAACGAGCTTAAATCTGAATTATTTCAGCTTGACAGTGCAACCCGGGCTGTGGTTGTGTGAGAGTAACAAAGTGACAGGCCAAGGGTGGGGCCAGCCCGATGGGTGCCTTTCTGCAGCCTCTCCCTGGGCTCAGAGCGAAGGGAAAGGGAGATTCCATTCTATTTAAAAGGCAGGATCTGCTCCCCTTGTCTACATGGAGAAATCTGTGTGGGGAAGGTGAGGTACCCTGTGCTGGAGCTGGGTCAGAGGTTCCCTGCCCTCTCTAACCCTTCCAGCAGAGCCCAGAGATGAGATCTCGTTGCAGCAAGACCTGTTTGGGTTAAAGGAGAGGCAGAGGATGGGAGGAAGGAGCTGTGGTGCTCAGGAATGCTCTGGGGTTGGGAATGCTGAGGGACGGAGTGGCAAAACCAGCAAAGAGAGGAGTGAACTGGAACAGGGTGAAAAAACAGCCAGAAAAAGCAAAGCCATCCTTAACACAGCAAAATTGGAAATCCTTTGGTGGCTTTCTTTCCTCTGCTGGTGCTCAGATCCCTCTGGAGTCTGCAGGCAGCACCCAGCGTGGTGCTGACATCCACTGACTTGGGCCAGACCTTTCCTCACCCTCAGCCACTGCATCACACCAGGAGCTGCTACAAAACCAAGCCAAGATTGTTGCTGGTTCAGCTTAAAGCTTCAATCCAGCCTTGATGCAGCCAGCAGCCCTTCTGTGCCACCCCACAGAGCCCAGTTCTGCCCAGGGACAGCAGTGCCAGGGAGGTGCCACCAGCCCCGATGCTCTGCTCAGAGGCTCCTTCCCATGGATTTACATCCCACCAGGACCTCACTCTTGTCCATGGTAACTCCTACTCCAGCTTACATTTACAGACATTTCCCACCTTCTCCATCCCTTCAGTGAGCTCCCCTCCTACCAGCTCAGCTCCCCTGTCAGGTAGGGCTGCATTGTCACCCTGCTCTCACCTTTCCTTCACCAGCAGGGAGAAGTTGGCCAGAGCCTGAGGATTTCATGACTGTTTTGGTTGCAAACACAGAAAATTCTGACATGAGTGCTCAGAGGAGGCTGCAGCAGGTGGCAAAGGGCTGGGGGATAGGAAACAGGGCTGCTGGTGGGGCTGGAGAGGAAAAGGCTCATGGCACAGTTTTTGTGGTTGCCCCCCTGTGTGCTAAAAGCCGAGTTCTGGGGAGCTCCCTGTAGATTTAGTCAAAGGGGTGACTGTGCCTGGTGGGCTCAGGATGAAGTTCTGCCATCATCAACCTCCCTGTAACACAGCACAGGTGAGGTGTGTGCCGAGGGCTGGGGGCCCTGCAACCTCTTCCTTCACAAATATGAGCAAATTCCACCCAGAAAAAGCCAAAGAGGGAGCTGAGCTGGGATAAAACTGTGGGGAATGGGGAAAGCAAAGTGGCAAAAACTTTGCAAAACAGGCTGCAAAATGTATGGAGAAGTTGATAGGGGAGCAGGGAGAAGGGACTTTCTGGATGTCCCTGGAGAGTTTATCTCTCCAGCACTGGAGAGGCAGGTCACAAGCGGATCAGGGATAACTGTAGAGGCTTTCCTCTGGATTTAAATGCAGGATAAGAAAAAAAAGCTGAGTTCAAGGCTGCAGTACAATTGTATCTATTCAGGAAGATTTTAGAATGAAAGGGATTCAAGTGTCTTAGTTCTTCTCTTTTGTTATCATACATAATAGTGAGGTGAGAAGCATCACCTGAGCTGTCCAATGAGACAGGAGGCACAAACAAATCATCACCTTGGGGATTTTGGGGGAATCTTCTGCCTTCTCCTGCATCCAGGGGAATCCACTGCTTTGTGCTGCCCTGGCCTGGGACTTCTCCTGGCAAGGACCACTGCAGCTGCCTCACCTTCCTCTGGCTGCAGGAATCCCATTTGGAACCACAGTGGGGTATAGTTTGTCTAATCCCACTGAAAAAAAAAACAACCAGATTCCAAGGAAATCTGTGCTGATACACGGTTCTGTTAGGGAGGAGGAAGAAAAGGGGGTTGATTTGGGAACTGCTCAGTGCCTGAGCATTTGCCATCCCTGCAATTAGAGCAGTAATGTGAACCCACCTCGTGGGGGGTGGCAGGGTTTAATCCTTTGGATGCAGAGAAGCACTTTAGATGAAAGGCTTTATATAATGATAAAAGAGCATTTGAATTCTTACTTAAATGCTCTCAAGTCCTATAACTCCCTCCAGCACTTTTCCCTGAAAAAGGGCCCTTCCTGCCCAAGGAGGAGTTTTCTGGGCTTTTCCCATCAACTGAATTCCAGCAGCTCCAAGAGCAAAGGGCAGGAGATTCAGGGACAGACAGCACTGCCCTTTTGTAGCTCCAAAAAACACCCCATGTGTTCCCCAGCAAGCAGCTTTTGGGACCAAGAGTTAAAGAAGGAAACATTTGGGGGTTTTGATGGGATTCCAATAGCCATAAGATTAAAGTCTGAACATCCAAGGGAGGGGTTCTGAAGGGCTCAGGAGGAAAAGATGCAGTGCCTGGACAGAGGATGGAGGAGGGAGCTCCCACCCAGCAATGTTCAGCAGTCCCTGTTTGCTGAACTCACAAAAGATAAATTGCAAAAGAAAAGTTGCAGATTTGGTCCATTTTGGACACCAGCAGTGGTGATGGAGTGCTGACAAAGAGCTGGGTGGGAATGGAGCCCAAGAAAGTGCTGTAGTGATGTGCTCTTGCTGTGAGTCCCTGGAATCCCTTCCAATGGAGAGAAAAATATTGACAGCATGCCTGGGGGATTTGGCTTTGTCACCCCCTGGATTCAAACAACATCTAGAAGAAAAAAAAAACAATTGAAAGAGGAGCAATCAAAAAGGTGACAGGAGAATTTTCACAGAGATGCCTGTGGCTTTGCTCATTAATTACTACAGAGTAACTACAGCGAGGACTTACACATCACCCCTACCCTGTGCTAACCCATGTGCCCATTTAGAGCCCAGGGAAGGAGTTAGTGCCTAGCAATTACCATGTTGTGAAGTTTCTTTTGGTGGATTCTCCATGTAGACAAGCCCTGGGAAGCATTGAATTTGGTGTAAATTGGGGGTGTTTTTCAGAAGATGGATGTTAGGGAGCAGAAGTGCCCTGAAGGACAACATTTCTCAGTCAGTCCATGCTTTTATGTCGCAGGTTGTCAGCTGGAGACAACAGAAAGGCCGGGCAGTGCAGCTCTAGGTGATGTGTCCCCAAAGTTTGGATCAAAGAGACTCAGGGAGCCAATGGATGTGGCCAGAAGTCACAAAGCCTGACTAAAACAACAGGCCATGGAGCTTTGCATAGTCTGGGTGAGTGGGTAGAGGGCCAACCCCGAGAAGTGCCCGCAGCAATGAGGGGTGAGTGGGGAGGAGAAGGGCTGGGGCTGGATGGAGCCTCGAGAGAGCGTGTGGGGAGTGGGTCCCACGGGGATGGTGTGGAAGACATGGCAGGTCCTGTGGTACCTACAGACAGAGTGGGAGGAGCAGAGTCTGTTTTCTTGTTATGTTAAATACAAAACATTAAAAAATAATAGGACTCGTGGAACTGACCTCAGGCAGCTCTGGGGACGCCGGAGATTTCCAGAGCTGCAGAAGAGCTGTGTGAGAGATGCAAGGAGAGGAGCAGGAATCTAAAACTCCTTCATGCCCCTGAAAATCTCCTGCAAGGCCCTAAGCCAAAGCCCCAGAGGGTTGGGGGGATGAGCACTGGCAGTGGTGGGGGCTGGATCATGCTGAGCCTCTGCAGGACAGACGTGCCGTGGCATCGGGGTGTGCATGGGTAGAACGGGCTCTCTGTGCCGTGGTGCTGCTGCTGGGCATTAACCAGGCTCTTGTCTCGGTGCCAGGGGTGCTAAGCTCCCTTTGGGTGCACAGAGAAATGTGTGGGTTCACAGGGAACGCCTGATTCTGCCTTCCATTAAAAAGCCCACCATGGGATGGGGGTGAGGAGGAGCCTGGGGTTCTCATGCAGCAACATCCTGCTCTGCCAGCTCTGACATCTGCCCTAAGTGATAAAAGAGCTTGTAGGAGCAGACATGGAGAACATTCCCAAAGGCATGCAAATGGTCATTGTCTCTTTTTTTTTTCTTTTTTTTTTTTTTCTTTTTTTTTTCATCAAAAATACAAAAGCACCCACCACATCCTCCAGCTTTGGCAGCTGCGTTTCATTCGGAGCAGAGCCATGGTCCTTCTGCAGCTCTGCACTCCCTCCTCCTCTGTGCAACAGCTCTCAGCTCCTGATGGCAGTTTGAGCTTTGTTTCGTTGTTTTTGTTTTGTTTTTGTAGAGACAGAGAATTTGACGATTTAAAAACCAACAACCCCCCAAAAAATCCAGTGACTTGTGCCAAAATTCTCAGGAGGACTCCTCAAAACATCCCGTTCTTGCCTTGTATTTTCCTTCCAAAACCAGCTTCATTCTGGAGACTCTCTCCTCCTCTTGCACTTTAGTTGTCTCCCCACTCCATGAGTTCTGCTGGAGGGGAATGAGGTAGTGGATTTCCCCTTTCTCCTCTCCACGTGGCCTCTCCCATTCCTACTCAGGGTGATTTTTATCCCATCCCTCGCACAGGCTCATTCCCAAGAGGCGGTGAATTGAAGCATGCGTTCCTTCCGACGGCGCTCCAGAGCAGACTGTCTAGGGCTGCCCACCTACACTGTGACAATTTTTTGTTTTGTTGCAAGGCTGAAAGTAAAAACCCCAAAAGGAAAGTTGTCTTCCTCCTCTTCAAGGTATTTGCATGCTGAAACATCTTCTAGGAACCTGTAAAAGAAAGAGTGGCTTAGGGCAGCTTCCAGCAGAGCAGATGTTCCCCTTACACTCCTGGCTTGGCTTTTGGGTGCTCCCGAGGTCCCAGTTTGCCTGAGCTGTGCTGATCATGGTTTGGCAGGTGGGGGCAGGTGTGTTTGGGAGGTTCCCAAGACATTTTGGGCTTGTATTTCTGGGCAGGTTGATTTGTGTCCTGGAACCTTTCTGTTTTTCCAGCACTGCACTCTTCTAAACCCAACCACAGGCTTTGCCAGGGCAGGACCTTTTACCAGGGAGACCTTGTGTGGTCACCAGGGCACTCTGGACAGCACAGGGAGGGCTTTCCATGCTGGTGATTTGGGCAATGTATGTTTCTACTGGAAGGAGCCCGTTCTCTGAGGTGTTTTTTATGTGTTTGTGCAGCTGCTGATGGTCAAACCAAACTGGAGTCAGTGCCCTCCCACTGCACTGGGAATGTGCTGGGGGTAGACTGGGGGCAGGTCTGTCCTATCCCCTGGGCTGGAGCTGGGAGCCAGGCGAGGTTCCCACTGGAGCTGGGCTGAGGGAAGGAGAAGGAAGGGTTACCTCTGACGCTGAGTGAAATGTAGAGCACGATGATGATGGTCCCCAGCACAATGGAGACGATGCTGAGCAGCCTGGCCATGCGTCCGAGCCGCCGGGCGCCATCTGTGTCCCCTTGCTGGCCACTGTTCCTCGACTGGGGAGACACAAAAAGAGTCCTTTGAGAGAGGCAGCAGCTCCAGGGATGACCCCCTGGCTGTAGAGCCCCAAACCGAGCCCCATTTTCTTTCCTGCTCCTTTAACTGGTAATCACTTGGTTCCCAAGCAAAAAATGCTGGAAGTGAGGATTCCTGGTGAGGGAGAAGCGTCACTGCTGAGGGAAGAGCCTCCTGATCCTGCTGGAAAGGATGCACTGGGTGTGCTGCCCTTGGCTGGGGGAGCACACAGCACTCAGCAGAAGGGAGCTGTGCTGGAATTACTCACTGTGTTGTCAGCGTTTGCTGCCAGCCTGGCTCTTGGGACCAAAAAGCCTCCCCAAGTTTGTGCAGGGCTCTTCTGCCCCCCACAAAACCCATTGGGAAGGGGGTTTGGAGGGAGGAAAAGTGGGTGAGGGATTTTAAGGCCTGTTGGTGATATTTTCACCTTGGAGTGAGAGGAAAGAGAAACAAGGTGGGATGGGGGGAGAAGGGAGCCCAGCATCCTTGATCCAGTGGAGGAGTTGGGCAAAACCCCCCTAAACTTCACTGGGGATGGGGTTTTATTGATGATTTTACTGCTTTGAAGCAGGTAATCCTCTTTTGGGCTGTTTTTATGTATTTAACACTTTAACATGGATTAAAGGCTTCTTCCCCTGGCATCTCCATCCATCCCTATCCATCTCCAGCCATGCTACCTTGGAGAAAAGGGGGATCTGGTGCAAACTGTGGGGCCAGCAGCTCCCACAGCCCTGTGCTGTGTGACAGCTCATCCTTTTGGAGCACGGCTGCTAAAACTGGAGAGATTCTCAGTTTAAAAAAAACAAACAGGTGTACTAGTTAAAAAGAGTTAAAGGTGGAAATGGATTAAAGCGATCGCAGTTTCCTTTCAAAAAATGTGTATCTCAGAAATAGCTGTGGTGGAAAGGATCCCCTGCCTCATGTTAAAATAAAATAAAAAACAAAACAATTAAGAGCAGGGAGACCTAGTCCAGCTCCAGCAATAATCATGAAACATCACAGAGAATCTGAACAAATACTTGGTGTTACTGCCCCATTTCCCATTCATCCTGCTTTAATTCCACTGCCTCTTGGCAGCACCATGACCAAAACATCCCCAGCCCAGGCTGGGCAGCTGCTCTGTAGGAAAAATGCAGCTTTGGAGGTTTCCATATGCTCATTTGAGTTTGTGTCAGCACGTAGATAACACAGCAGAGCCTCAAACGGGCAGGTGCTGCTTCCACTGCCCCCCTGCCATGTCCTGCCCCACTCACAAGCCACCCTGGGCATCACTGTCCCCACCAGTGACACCAGGAGAGCTCAGGACCTTGTTCCTCCTGGTCTCAACAGCAGGTTTGCCAGACCCACGCTGAAAGCAATGGGATGCAGCCAAGAGCTATTTTCATCACAGAACAGGAGGTGACAAAATGAAGCCTCATGGGTTGGTGGTGAGAGATGGGGAGGATGCAGGAGCCCAGGGATAGACAGGATCCCTGCCCTGCTCACTGACAGCTCCAGCTCTGGGGATTTGGTTTTTCAGTCTCTGGTTTTTGTAAAAAGTGTAATATTTTGGCAGGGTGTGGGTTAGATTGCAGTGAAATATGCAGTTTTAGCTGTCTTCTAGGCAAAACATATAGGCTAAGGGATTCATTATATTTATCACTACAGCTTCTGGAAGTGTTTACTGCTCATTTACCCTCAACAATTATGAGAAACACATCAGCATTGGCATGGGGTGTTTAGCAAGAATTTGGTACTGTACATATATTTTTCGTCGGGGTGGAACGGTTTGATTGTAGCTCTCTAGTATCACTAATCCCATGTTTGGCTTTCCACATAAAAACATTAACATCTTGTTTATTAATCGAGGCTCACCAAGGCAGAACATCTCCAAAAGGCTCAAGGGCTCCAGGGGAGTGAGTCACTGTGTGAGTGCCAAGGGACTCCCTGCTACAGCCCAGAGCTGGAAAATCTGCAGGACCTGGGGAGTGGGTGCTGTTCTGCAGCCCAGGTAATGCTGGGTGACTCAAGAGTTATTAATTTTACCTGTTTCTCACTGCTATCTGTTCCAATTGCTGCTCAAAATGGTTTTTTTTCCCCTAAGTGGCCTTGTTGCAGATGAAGGCAATTACTTTCCTGTGCTAGTCCCAGGGATGGAGAAGACAAATCATCACATCCTCTTTCCTGCACTCTCTCCCAGTTTATGAACCGGCTTTGGATGCTGTCTGCTGCCATACACCAATTACTCAGAATAAATCATTAATCCTCAACACTTGGTGTTTTTGTTGAAGGAAACATTCCAAGAGTCAACTCCAGAGAGAGACTGTGGCATTTAAAATGGGTGAGGGTAGTCTGACTTCTGCCACATCTTTTGGGAATGACAGAACTTATTTTGGATACCAAGTGCTCTGCAGAACTGCCCTTGATATTACTGTGTGATGCTTCTGGCTGGATTTTTTCATTTCCCTTCATTTGCTGGGAGTTTTTTACTCTGGGATGTGGCTCCTCTGCTTCTTCCCCCAGAGTGGCTGCACTTTGGTGGGAAGAGGAAAGGATTCACAGCAGGAATGCAGAGTGGGTGATACCCAGCCCTGCCCTGCACTCAGATGAGATGGATCCCATGGGATGGACACATCCTTGTCCACCAGTCCCACTCTCTGGGGGTCTTGGGGAGTGACCTGAACCCTTTAGAACAGCCAGATCATCATTTGGTGAGAAAAACACATCCAAGAGTCTGTGGAGAAGCCTCCAGGTGATTAATTTCCATGAAATCAATGTTAACAGGAATAGGCTGGGGGGGCTAGAGCAGGGTTTTTTTCCACCTCTGGCCATAGGCCCTGCTGGGATATGAGACCAGCTTTTGAGAAATGATTTATGAGACGCTAAACTCAAAAGCATTCATTTACTTTCCTCTCTGGACGCTGCTTATTACCCAGGAACAAAAAAAAAAAAAAGCTTTCATGTGCAAAAGCTTTGACTCAGGAAAGAAAAGCACAATTGCAGAGCTAAAGGAATGTCAGCCCATTATGGAAAGGTCCTCCTGTTTCCCCAGGCAATGGGAATCACAAAAACCTGGTTCCTGCTCAGCTCTGTGCATGATCAGGCACATCTGGGCTTTACTCTGAGAGAAGCCCTGAGCCTGGGGGAGCCTTGGGGGTCACTGGGAGCTCGATTCCTCCCTGCTGCAAGCAGGTGAAACATCATCCCGTGCCCTGAGAGCTGCTCCTGCTGGCAGGAGGACCCAGCCAGATGTTTCCTGGTTCCTCATGGAGGGAGGGAGGATGGATCACTCCCCACCCTGCTCTGCTGGTGCCGTGGGGAGATCCCTGGCTGGCAGGTGGGTGGGTGGAGGTGCTGGTGCAGGCAGGGCCAGGACTAAAAAGGGCTGTAATAAATTAATTAAACCTCAGGACAGAGAGTGCAGGGGCGACTGTGCAGAGGGCAGAGGATGGGCACTGGCTACTAATGTGCTGTGTGTGCCTTGTCCTGGAGAACAAGCTCAGCTGAATGTCTTCTGCCTCCCCTTCCCCAGCCCTGGATGAGCCCTGGTCAGTGCTGCCAGTGGCCTTGGAAGCAGAATAATCTTATTGCCTTGCTGGTCCTGCCTCCCCTTGGCTGTGACAATCACCACACCCTGGTCCCTCTCTGCCTGGCAGGATGAACCAACTCCTGCTCTTTTTTCAGTTTACTCTTCTCCACGGGGCTTGTGTGGCCCGAGGCACATCCCCACCACCCTGGAGGCTCTGGCACCTGCAAGGGACAGGGCGAGGATCTATTTTGCATCAAGGCTATGTGGCTGGAAAATCCCCGTGAGAGACCTTGTTTATTACCATGGATATGCAACACCCAGCTGCTTTCCCTCTCCTTGCAGTGCACAGCCCAACAAGGCTGGCTGGCTTCCCTGGATGCTGCCTAAACAGTCTGTGCCACACAACTGTACTACGCAGATGACAGCTGGCACTGGCAGAAACGATGATTCCTCCTCAAAATGGAAATTGGTCTCCCTAGAGGGAGGGACTTTTTGTGGCAAGTGCCCGTGCCTGCCTTCAAGTTGTTGGTGGTTTTGGGGAGAAGTGCTTGGCTGCAGGTGCCCCCCAGTGTATTTCTGTGTGGTAAGCAGGTAATGGAGCCGATTTTCAAAGAACAGATTCGCCTTTGTTGCAAATCAAAGGCATAGAAGGTGCTGGGTGTGTACAAGAGAGCTGCATCTGCTGGGGAAGGGGGTGGCTCTGCTTGTAGGGCTGTGCTGACTGAGCCACCTGTACCCGAGATGGGTGGGAGGCCGGGCTGGCTTCATTTTCCCCTGCTCGGCTCTTGGTGTATTTGCTGAGGTGTGGGGGATGTTTAATGGAGAAAAATTGCTTCTCCAGGGCGGCTGTAAGAGCTGCAGGTGCAGCCTGTCCCTTTGAAGTGCCTGAGGCCAGGCACCAGCCTCCAGCCAGGGTCTCCCCAGCGCTGCAGGGCTGGGCTAGGAGGGGCAGAGGGAGATCCCTTGTCAATGCTGCTCCTCGCAGCTCCTTCCCGGGGAAGCCCGGCGAGTCGTCCTGGACCGCTGCCTGGGGCAGGGACCTCGCTTCCCGGAGCCACCCTGTCCTGGAATCCCACCCTCCTCTCCATCTCCATCCCGCCGCCTCCTTTTCCATCCCCATCATCTCCATCTCCATCCCGCCGCCTCCCCGGGCGCTGCCCCAGCCTCGGCGCGGCCCCCCGCCCTCCTCC